GACCCTCCTCCCGTCGCTGAGCCTGTCGAGGTCACAGGTGACTCAGGTGCTGCTGCGGGTGGTGCTGCTGGGAGTGCTGAGCCTGGGGGTGCTGAGCCTGGGGGTGCTGGGCCTGGGGGTGCTGGGGCTGCGGGTGCTGGGACTGAGGGTGCTGGAGCTGAGGGTACGGTGCCTGAGAGTACGGAGCCTGGGGGTGCTGAGCCTGGGGGTGCTGACCCTGCGGGTGCGGGGCCTGGGAGTGCTGGGACTGCGGGTGCTGGAGCTGAGGGTACTGTGCCTGAGAGTTTGCCGCCTGGGGGTGCTGAGCCTGCGGGTACTGAGCCTGCGGGTACTGAGCCTGGGGGTGCTGCTACTGAGCCTACGGAGCCTCGGGTTACTGCGTCTGGGGGTGCTCCGGTTCGGGGTGCTGAGCAGTCTCTCACACCGCAGCAGCTTCGTGACTGGTACGTCCGGCGCTTTCGCCGTCCTAGTGGCTCGGCTGGAGTTGGGGGTGCTGGGGCTGCTCGTCCTGGAGGTGCTCGTACTGGGGGTACTGGAGCTGCCGGGACTGGTTGTTCTGGGAGCACTGCGACTGGAGCTGCTGGAGCTGGGGACTCTGGCGCTGGCGGTGCTAGCGGAGTTGGAGCTGCCGACTCTGGGGGTGGCACTGCTGCTGGTGCTGCGGACCCGCCTGGTGGAGCTGCTGCTGGAGCTGAGGACCCGAGCGGTGGCGCTGCTGCTGGTGCTGGGGACCCGGACGTTGGAGCTCCTGCTGGTCCTGAGGACCCGGCCGCTGGAGTCTCTTCTGCTTCTAGAGTCTCTTCTGCTTCTAGAGACGCTGCGCGGCCGCGACCGTACTTCGTACCGCTCCTTCAGCAGGTTCTTGGTCAGGCTCCTCCTCCTTGTCCTCCTCCCTCCGTAGAGTGTCCTCCGCCTGTCCAGCCGCAGTCGCAGTTACCGCCTGCCTCGCCTCTCCCTGCTCCCTCTCCTTACGCTGGTCCCACAGGAGGTCTTACAGAGCGTCGTGAGCCTGAGTCTCGTCCTGCGTCGCCTGTTCGTCCTGCTCGCACTGGTAGTCGTGTCCGTCGTGAGCGTCCTCCTCCTGTCCCAGGCACTCACTACATGACTCTGCATCCCTCTACTGCTCCTCGGCGTGTCCCTCTACCGTCTCCTCCTGCGTCCTCTTTGCCTGCCGTTCCGGACCCTGAGTCTGACCGGTATCGCGCTGAGCACCCTACAGTCACGCGTCTCCTAGCTACTGTTGTCACTGACCCTACCTTTGAGTCCTCGGCTGCGTCTGCTCTGGTCGCTGAGTTGGTTGACTTTGCTGCTGCCTGTCGTCTAGACTACGCTGCTAGCCTTGTTGCTGAGTCAGAGTCTGCGTCTGTCTGTCCTCCGTCCGTCGGGGGTGAGTGTGCTCTTGGCACGGACGTCCTTGAGGACAGGCAGGAGGACTTTGACTCTCTTGCGGCTGCTGTACCTCATCTCGTGGCCTGGTTGCTTGCCCCTGAGGGAGACCCGGATGCACTAGACATCCCCACTCCGCGCACTTACGCAGAGGCGATCTCGGGTCCCTACTCCTCTCAGTGGCAGACAGCCATGGACGCAGAGATGGCATCCTGGAAGTCCACAGGCACCTACGTCGACGAGGTTCCCCCTCCTGGGGCGAACATCGTCGATGGCATGTGGATTTTCAGGGTGAAGCGGCCGCCAGGTTCTCCGCCTGTCTTCAAGGCTCGTTACGTTGCTAGAGGCTTCAGTCAGCGTCAGGGGGTCGACTTCTTCCAGACCTTCTCCCCCACCCCGAAGATGACCACTCTTCGGGTTCTGCTGCACGTTGCTGCTCAGCGTGACTACGAGCTTCACTCTCTTGACTTCAGCACAGCGTTCCTGCAGGGCAGCCTGCACGAGGAGATCTGGCTGCGCCGCCCACCTGGCTTTACTGGGTCGTTTCCCCCTGGTACCCAGTGGAGTCTCCGCCGGCCAGTCTACGGTCTCCGCCAGGTGCCACGTGAGTGGCACGACACACTGAGGACTACTCTTGCGGCTCTTGGGTTCGCGCCGTCTACTGCTGACCCGTCGCTGTTTCTGCGCACAGACACGTCGCTGCCGCCGTTCTACATTCTCGTGTACGTCGACGACTTGGTCTTTGCTACTGCTGACACTGAGGCACTCGCTCGTGTGAAGTCGGAGCTGCAGAAGAGACACACCTGCACTGACCTGGGTGAACTGCGTAGCTACCTTGGCTTGCAGATCACCCGGGACAGAGCTCGCCGCACCATCACCCTGACTCAGTCACACATGGTGCAGCAGGTCCTTCAGCGCTTCGGCTTCCAGTTCTCCTCACCACAGGCCACACCTCTGGCTACCAGCCACTCGCTCTCAGCTCCACCTTCGGACGAGTCCGTAGAGCCGAGTGGCCCGTACCCAGAGCTTGTAGGCTGCCTCATGTACCTGATGACTTGCACGCGACCTGACCTCGCGTACCCTCTTAGCATCCTTGCTCGTTACGTTGCGCCTGGGAGACACAGGCGAGAGCACTGGGAGGCTGCTAAGAGGGTGCTGCGTTACTTGTGCAGTACATCAGGCATGGGGCTGGTGCTTGGAGGACGCGACAGAGTTGTCCTCACTGGTCACTCGGACGCTTCTTGGGTGGACGACCTGGCTACGCAGCGGTCGTCACAGGGTTACACCTTCAGCCTTGGCTCTGGTTCTGTCTCGTGGCGGTCCACCCGCTCTTCCTCTGTTCTCGGCTCTAGTTGTGAGGCTGAGATCTACGCCACAGCCATGGCTGCACAGGAGTTACGCTGGCTCACCTACCTGCTGACTGACTTGGGAGAGCGGCCTAGTTCTCCTCCAGTTCTGTACGGTGACAACAAGGCGGCTCTTGCCTTGTGTCAGGAGCACAGACTGGAGCACAGGACGAAGCACATTGCTCTTCGCTACTTTCTTGCTCGAGAGCTTCAGCAGCGCGGTCAGCTTCGGCTTGTGTACGTGGACTCGAAGGCCAACACTGCTGATATCTTCACCAAGGCGCTCCCGCCTAGTGATCATCAGCGGCACTGTACTTCCTTAGGCCTTGTGTCCACGTTTCCTCACTTGCTCACTGCTTGACATTCTTTGTACTGTACTTTATATATATCTTGTTGCTTGCTTGCTAGGTTTTGATCACTGTGTTACTTGTCTTGTACTATATCTAGCACTGCATGTGAACTGGCCTTGTGGCCTTTACTTGTGCTCGGAGTGTGGTGACGTTGTGATCCACCCTGGGCTTTGCTTTGCTTTGCTGGACTGGTCTTGTGACCCTTTGTTCTCCCCCACTTTGCCTATGGGGGTGTGTTAAACTGTATTATGCTTGTAGGCTGTAGTGGGGTAGCCAATATGGGGTACAACCCCAACTAGGGTTTCATATTTGTACCCAAACTTCTGCTAGTTCATTCATTCTTGCCTAGTGATTCCGATAGTCGAAATTGTAGGCGCCGAACTTTTCTTCGCGCAAGAATCAAGCCAAAAAGGCTCTAGTGTTTGAACATGGCCTACTCGAATATGCTATAAAAATTCAGGTCGTTGAATGCTTTTCCCTACGCCTATAAGGATTCACGCGCTTTCTATGCACTTGGCGGCAAAAAACGGCCGAAATCGTAGGCGCCGAACTTTTCTTCGCGCATTAACCAAGCCGAAAAGGCTCTAGTATGTGTATTTGAACATGGCCTACTCGAATATGCAATAAAATTCAGGTTGTTGAATGCTTTTCCCTACGCCTATAGGGATTCACGCGCTTTCTAGGCACTTGGCGGAAAAAACGACCGAAATCGTAGGCGCCAAACTTTTTCTCGCGCATTAACCAAGCCGAAAAGGCTCTAGTATGTGTATTTGAACATAAACTACTCGAATATGCAATAAATTTAAGGTTGTTGTGTCAGAAATACTAGGAGTGGATGTCAAACATTATACATGTTGTATTTGTGTAGGCTGTAGTGGGTTAGCCTATAGGGGGTACACAATATTAGGGTTTCATATTTGTACTCACAATCCTTGCTAGTTCATCATTCCAGTCCGTTCTCGTTGACATGGTTTCAGAGCAGGTCCTTCGTTAGGACCGTTTTTTTTTAGGGCCACCGTTCCCTACCTACCTACCTACCTACCTAGGGCGCCTCGAATTTTTTTTACTGGCCCCTACATCCCGCGACCCGCGACCCGCCCCTTAAGGCCCCGTCGCGCCGCCCCTTAGCCGCTCGCGCGCGGTCGTTTTCATACATGTGCCCCGCCTGCTGCCGCGCGCGCCTTATTTCCCTCGCGCGCGGCCCGTCGCCTACTCGCGCACGCCCCGCAGCCGCCCGTCGCCTGCTCGCGCACGCCCCGCAGCCGCCCGTCGCCTGCTCGTGCATGCCCGCAGCCGCCCGTCGCCTGCTAGCGCACGCCCCGCAGCCGCTCGTAGCCTGCTCGCGCACGCCCCGCAGCCGCCCGTCGCCTGCTCGCGCACGCCCCGCAGGCCCGCAGCCCACCATCGCAGCGGCCGCCCACCCGCAGCCGCCCGTCGCCTGCTCGCGCACGCCCCGCTGCCCGCAGCCGCTCGTACGCCGCTGCTTCCGCTGCTGCTTGCGCACCGCTGCCTCCCGAGCGCCGCCGCTGCCTGTGCGCCGCCGCTGCCCGTGCGCCGCCGCTGCCCGTGCGCCGTCGCTGCCCCTACGCTGCCGCTGCCCGTGCGCTGCCGCTGCCCGTGCGCCGCTGCCGCCCGTGCGCTTCTGCAGCCGCCGCCCGCGAGGCACTCGCTCTCACTGTTGTTTATTTTCTACCTACCGCGCACACTGCTGCCACTGCAGCTGCCACCAGTGCGCCGTTGCAGCTCCTGCTGCCACGCTACCTACTACTGCCGCTCGTGTGCCACTACGGACAGTCGACCCCGCCCGCGCCTTGCCTAGCGGCCCCGCCGGCCCCGTTGACCCTCCGCACACCTTTCCAGCGGCCTGATTCCTACTACTACTGTTACTACTGCCACTACTACTACTGCTACTGTCACTATGGCTAGTCCTCCCGTTCTAGCTTTCGATGCCGAGGGCCGTCCAGTGAAGTTTGAAACCTGGCTAGATGACCTGCACCTGTTCCTACAGCTCACTGCCAAGGAAGATATCTCACTGTACGACCACGCCCTAGGCCATGCCACTGCCCCTGACTCTTCTGCTAACAGCACTCTGGGTTCCCAGTGGCAGACCCGTGATGCGCACGCTCGCTTTGCTATTCGCAACTCCCTGCCGCTAGACGAGCGCGAGCACTTCGGCCAGTGCAAGACTGCTAAGGACCTCTACACCACTGTAGTTGCCCGCTACTCCTCACCCGCTTCTGCCACGCTAGGCCGCCTCACTCTCCCCTACCTGTTCCCCGACCTAGCCTCCTTTCACACTGTCGCAGACCTCATCACCCACCTTAAGACTAGTGAGGCCCGCTTTCGCGCTGCTATGCCTGCCGAGTTTCTCACTAGCAACCCCCCCCCGCTCTGGATCACCCTCTACCACATCGTCACCCGCCTCCCTGACTCTCTGCGCGCAGTCAGGGACCACTTCCTCTCTCGCTCCCCCACTGAGCTCACTGTTGCCCTCCTCGAGAAGGAACTGCTTGCAGCTGAGGCGAGCATCGTCGCTGTAGGCACCTCTCGTGGCGACCCCCGCACCCCGTTCTTTGAGGGGTGTTCCCCTTCCCCCCTCCTCCCCTCTGTCGCTCAGCTGCTGCTGTCGACCTTCTTGGTGCTGAGAAGGTCGGGACCGCGTCTGCTTCGAGAGGGTGCCGCAGGAACAAGGGGGGCAGGGGTGGGTAGCGGCGGAGAGGTGGGGGTGGAGGCGGTGGGAGTGGAGGCGCGGCTGGGGAGACTAGTGGCGGCAGTGGGGGAGGAGACAGCAGCGGTGGGAGTGGTGCGGAGCGGCAGCGGAGGCGGAGGTGGTCGTGGCGGCGGCAGGGGTGGAGGTGGCCGGGGCGGCGGCGGTGGGGGTGGTGGTCGTGGAGGCACTGGCGGAGGGCAGAGTCAGCAGCCCGCCCCGACGCTTCAGGCCGCCCGTGAGTGGTATGCGCAGCGTGGCTTTACCTGCACGTACGTCATTCGCACAGGTGACCGCAGCGGCCAGCAGTGTGGGAGGCCGCACCCCACGCAGCGCTGCTTCGCGCGCCTTACCGACGCGTGGCGCACTCAGTTTCCTGCTGCCACTGAGCTGCCACGCTGGGCTGATCTGGAAAAGAGGGGTGTTGATATTTGGGCTTTAGACTTTGATGCTATTCTCACTGCCATGTATGCCATGTCTATTAGTGGAGAGGGTGCTCAGTACTTGCGTGTTCCGCCCGACCCGGGCATTCAGGCCAGTCCGACTGCCGCTCTAGGTGCTAGTGCGTCTGCTCCCACAGGTCCGGGTGAGGCTGCAGCCCTAGGTGCTAGTGCGTCCGTGCCCCCTGGTACTGAGTCGACTGCAGCACTGCACACCTTCACACTGGACTCAGGTGCTTCTCGCTCCTTCTTTCGTGACCGCACTGTCCTTGAGCCACTCGCTCGGCCAGTTGCTGTCTCCCTTGCTGACCCCTCTGGGGGTCCGGTCATTGCGACCTCCTCCACTGTCCTTCCTTGTCCGGCGGTCCCGTCCGGCACGCTGTCAGGTCTCTACCTCCCTTCGTTCTCTACGAACTTGGTGGCAGGTAGTGCGCTCCAGGACGGGGGTGTTCACCAGTTCACCCCCGCCTACGAGCGCGTGACACACTGCACGTGTGCTCGGACGGGTCGCCACCTGGCTACCTTCACTCGGGAGCCGGGGTCGGACCTTTACACACTGACCACTGAGTCCCCTCAGGTAGCTGCGTCCGCGTCTGCGTCTGCGTCAGGTCAGCTGTCGGCCCCCTGCTCGTGTCGCTCTCTGGCGCATGAGACTGTCCTTTGGCACCACCGCCTTGGTCACCCGTCTGTGCAGCGCCTTCGGACCATGCACAAACGGACTTGTTGCTGGTCTCCAGGGTAATCCCTCCCCTTCCAGACTCCCTGCTTGTCCCTGTATTCCCTGTGTCGAGGGACGGCAGCGCGCCACTCCTCACTCCTCCTCCTTTCCCCCGACGACTGCTCCCTTGCAGACGCTCCACTTGGACGTGTGGGGCCCAGCCCGCGTCCGTGGCCAGGGTCAGGAGAGGTACTTCCTGATTGTTGTTGACGACTTCTCGCGCTTCACCACGGTCTTCCCCTTGCGCGCCAAGGGTGACGTCCTGATGTATTGATCCCCTGGATCCGCAGATCTCGTCTCCAGCTCAGTGAGCGTTTCCGCTCCGACTTCCCTGTCCTGCGTCTGCACTCTGACAGAGGTGGGGAGTTTTCCTCTGGCCTCTTGGAGGCCTTCTGTCAGCAGGAGGGCATTGAGCAGTCGTACACGCTTCCGGCCTCTCCACAGCAGAATGGAGTTGCTGAGCGCGCAGTGGTCTGGTCATGGAGGTCGCTCGTACCTCCTTGAGCCATGCGGCTGCCCCCCATTTTCTGTGGCCGTTTGCAGTCCGATACGCTGCGCATCAGCTCAACCTCTGGCCCCGTGTCTCCTTGCCCGAGACTTCTCCGACACTGCGTTGGACGGGAGAGGCTGGCGATGCGTCGCATTTTCGGGTCTGGGATCCGAGCTTTTGTCCGCGACACGTCCGCGGACAAGCTCTCCCGTCGCGCTGTCCCCTGCGTCTTCCTTGGCTTTGTCCCGGACGCCCCTGGCTGGCAGTTCTACCACCCCACCTCGCGTCGTGTCTTGGCCTCTCAGGACGTCACTTTTGACGAGTCCGTCCCCTACTACCACCTCTTCCCTACCCCCTACCGCAACTGCCCCGCTCCCCCCCCACCTCTCTTCCTCGCTCCAGGTGCTGAGGTACCAGACCCCCTCCCCCCTCAGGGTGCCGCTCCCTCAGGTGTGTCCCAGGTAGACCCGGGTGAGCCTGTCGAGGTAGCTGTTGACTCTCGTCCTGCTAGGGGTGCTGAGTCTGGGGGTGCTGCGTCTGGAGGTGCTGAGCCTGGGAGTGCTGAGTCTGGGGGTGCGGAGCCTGGAGGTGCCTGGAGGTGCTGAGCCTGGGGGTGCTGAGTCTGGAGGTGCTGAGTCTGGAGGTGCTGAGCCTGAGCGTGCTACACCTGGAGGAGCCCTCTCCTCCCAGCAGCTGCAGGAGAGGTACCTCGAGTACTGCCGCCTCCGGCGAGGTGTTCCTGGAGCTCGTCCCGGACTTCCCCTCCTACCCGGGAGCTCCCCCCCATTCAGCAGATCCGCGAGTGGTACACACGGCGCTGCAGTCTTCGGAGTGGTGCTCCTGGTGCTGCGGACCCTGGGGGTGGCGCTGCTGCTGGTACTGAGGACCCGGACGTTGGAGCTGCTGCTGGTGCTGAGGACTCGGACGTTGGAGCTGCTGCTGGAGCTGAGGACCCGAGCGGTGGCGCTGCTGCTGCTGCTGAGGACCCGGGCGTTGGAGCTACTACTGGTGCTGAGGACCCGGCCGGTGGAGCTGCTGCTGGTGCTGTGGACCCGGACGCTGGAGCTCCTACTGGTACTGAGGACCGGAGCTGGAGTCTCTGCTTCTGGAGACGCTGCGCGGCCGCGACCGTACTTCGTACCGCTCCTTCAGCAGGTTCTTGGGCAGGCTCCTCCCCCTTGTCCTCCTCCCTCCGTAGAGTGTCCTCCGCCTGTCCAGCCGCAGTCACTGTTACCGCCTACCTCGCCTCTCCCTGCTCCCTCTCCTTACACTGGTCCCACAGGAGGTCTTACAAAGCGTCGTGAGCCTGAGTCTCGTCCTGCGTCGCCTGTTCGTCCTGCTCGCACTGGTAGTCGTGTCCGTCGTGAGCGTCCTCCTCCTGTCCCAGGCACTCACTACATGACTCTGCGTCCTTCTACTGCTCCTCAGCGTGTCCCTCTACCGTCTCCTCCTGCGTCCTCTTTGCCTGATGTTCCGGACCCTGAGTCTGACCGGTATCGTGCTGAGCACCCTACTGTCACGTGTCTCCTCGCTACTGTTGTCACTGACCCTACCTTTGAGTCCTCGGCTGCGTCTGCTCTGGTCGCTGAGCTGGTTGACTTTGCTGCTGCCTGTCGTCTAGACTACGCTGCTAGCCTTGTTGCTGAGTCTGAGTCTGAGTCTGTCTGTCCTCCGTCCGTCGGGGGTGAGTGTGCTCTTGGCAACGGACCGTCCTTGAGGACAGACATGAGGAGTTCCAGTGTCTTGCTGCCTGCTTTGCCCCGTCTCGTGTCCTTGCTAGTTGCCCCTGAGGGAGACTCGGATGCACCAGACATCCCGACCCCGCGCACTTACGCTGAGGCGATGGCGGGTCCCTACTCCTCTCAGTGGCAGACAGCCATGGACGCCGAGATGGCTTCCTGGAAGTCCACACGCACCTACGTCGACAAGGTTCCCCCTCCTGGGGCGAACATCGTCAGTGGCATGTGGATTTTCAGGGTGAAGCGGCCGCCGGGTTCTCCGCTTGTCTTCAAGGCGCGTTACGTGGCTCGAGGCTTCAGTCAGCGAGAGGGAGTTGACTTCTTCCAGACATTCTCCCCCACCCCGAAGATGACTACTCTTCGGGTGCTGCTACACATAGCCGCTCATCGCGACTACGAGCTTCACTCACTTGACTTCAGCACTGCTTTCTTGCAGGGCAGCCTGCACGAGGAGATCTGGCTGCGCCGCCTACCTGGCTTCACTGGGTCGTTTCCTCCTGGTACCCAGTGGAGGCTTCAGCGGCCGGTCTACGGTCTCCGCCAGGCTCCGCGTGAGTGGCACGACACACTGAGGACTACACTTGCGGCTCTTGGGTTCGCGCCTTCTACAGCTGACCCGTCGCTGTTCCTGCGCACCGACACTTCGCTGCCGCTGTCGCCGTTCTACATCCTCGTGTACGTCGACGACTTGGTCTTTGCCACCGCTGACACTGCAGGACTCGCCTACGTGAAGTCGGAGCTGCAGAGGAGACACACGTGCACAGACCTGGGTGAGCTGACAAGCTATCTTGGCTTGCGGATCACCCGGGACAGAGCACGGCGCACCATCACCCTGACTCAGTTACACATGGTGCAGCAGGTCCTTCAGCGCTTTGGCTTCACGTACTCTCTCTCGTCCTCTCGCCTCAGTCCACTCCTCTGCCTACCGGTCACTCGCTCTCAGCTCTGCCTTCGGATGAGTCTGTAGAGCCGAGTGGCCCGTATCCAGAGCTTGTGGGCTGCCTCATGTACCTGATGACCTGCACTCGACCTGACCTTGCATACCCTCTTAGCATCCTTGCACCGATGTCGCTCCTGGCCGTCACAGGAAGGAGCACATGGATGCCGCTAAGAGGGTGTTGCGCTACTTGTGCAGTACGTCGGGCATGGGACTTGTGCTTGGAGGGCGAGACCGAGTTGTTCTCACAGGGCACTCAGACGCTTCTTGGGCAGACGACCAGGCCACTCAGCGGTCGTCTCAGGGTTACACCTTCAGCCTTGGCTCTGGCTCAGTTTCTTGGCGCTCTATGGCGCTCTTCTTCTCTGTTCTCGGCTCCAGTTTGCGAGGCTGAGATCTACGCTACAGCCATGGCTGCCCAGGAGCTACGCTGGCTGACCTACCTGCTGACCGACCTCGGAGAGCGGCCTCGTTCTCCTCCAGTACTGTACGTCGACAACAAGGCTGCCATTGCCTTGTGTGAGGAGCACATACTGGAGCACAGAACGAAGCACATCGCCCTGCGGTACTTCCTTGCTCGTGAGCTGCAGCAGCGCGGTCAGCTTTGTATTCGCTACGTGGCCACTGAGGCCAACACTGCTGATGTGTTCACCAAGGCGCTTCAGCCTCGTGACCATCAGCGCTTCTGCACTCTACTAGGCCTGGCCTGTGGGCTACTGGACTCCTTACTTACCTCTTGACTTTGCTTGTACTGTGATCACTATATATATCTATACCTGCATGTTTACTCTGCTAGGGCTGTGATCACTGTATCTCTTGCTCTGTTATAAACCTGCATGTGAACTGGTCTTGTGACCACTAGCTTGTGCTCGGAATTTGTGTGGAATCCTTGAGATCCACCCTGAGCTTGTTGTTGTCTTGCTTTGCCTTGACTGGTCTTGTGACCCCTAGGTCTCCCCCACTTTGCCTATGGGGGTGTGTCAAACATTATACATGTTGTATTTGTGTAGGCTGTAGTGGGTTAGCCTATAGGGGGGTCACAACATTAGGGTTTCATATTTGTACTCACAATCCTTGCTAGTTCATCATTCCAGTCCGTTCTCGTTAACAGTGGGCCTAGGCTTAGTAGCCTAGGCCCACACTAAGAGGTAGTAGGATGTGCCCTAGGACTAGGGTTTTGGGTATGCGAAGGAGAATTGAGAAGAAAGAATAGAGAATGATTGAACTAGCAAGCAGGTTGGTACAAATAGGAAACCCTAAAGGGGTTGTACTCACTATTGAGCACCCCACTGCAGGCTAGACAAATAACATATTCTGACATGTTGAATGCTTTTTACTATGCCTATAGGGATTCACGCGCTTTCTATGCACTTGGCGGCAAAAACGGCCGAAATCGTAGGCGCCGAACTTTTCTTCGCGCATTAACCAAGCCGAAAAGGCTCTAGTAGGTGTATTTGAACATGGCCTACTCATATGCAATAAAATTCAGGTTGTTGAATGCTTTTCCCTACGCCTATAGGGATTTCTCGCGCTTTCTAGGCACTTGGCAGAAAAAACGACCGAAATCGTAGGCGCCGAACTTTTCTTCGCACATTAACCAAGCCAAAAAGGCTCTTGTATGTGTATTTGAACATGGCCTACTCGAATATGCAATAAAATTCAGGTTGTTGAATGCTTTTCCCTACGCCTATAGGGATTCACGCGCTTTCTAGGCACTTGGCGGCAAAAACGGTCGAAATCGTAGGCGCCGAACTTTTCTTCGCGCAAGAACCAAGCCGAAAAGGCTCTAGTATGTGTATTTGAAAATGGCTACTCGGATATGCAATAATATTCCGGTTGTTGAATGTTTTTCCCTATGCCTATAAGGATTGACGCGCTTTCTAGGCACTTGGCGGCAAAAACGGTCGAAATCGTAGCCCCGAACTTTTCTTCGTGCAAGAACCAAGCCGAAAAGGCTCTAGTATGTGTATTTGAACATGGCCGATTCCAATATGCAATCAAATTCAGGTTTGTCGAATGCTTTTCCCTGTGTCTATAGGGATTCACGCGCTTTCTAGGCACTTGGGGCAGGCAGAAACGGTCGAAATCGTATGCGCCGAACTTTTCTTCGCGCAAGAACCAAGCCAAAAAGGCTCTAGTATGTGTATTTGAACATGACCTACTCGGATATGCAATAAAATTCAGTTGTTGAATACTTTTCCTACGACGCCTATAGGGATTCACGCGATTTCTTGGCACTTGGCGGCAAAAACGGCCGAAATTGTAGGCGCCGAACTTTTCTTCGCGCAAGAACCAAGCCAAAAAGGCTCTAGTATTTGAACATGGCCTACTCGAATATGCTAGCAAAATTCAGGTTGTTGAATGCTTTTCCCTACGCCTATAGGGATTCACGCGCTTTCTATGCACTTGTTGGCAAAACGGCCGAAATCGTAGGCGCCGAACTTTTCTTCGCGCATTAACCAAGCCGAAAAGGCTCTAGTATGTGTATTTGAACATTCGTAGGCGAAAAACTTTTCTTCGCGCAAGAACAAGCCGAAAAGGCTCTAGTATGTGTATTTGAACATGGGCCACTCGAATATGCAATAAAATTTAGGTTGTTGAATGCTTTTCCCTACGCCTATAAGGATTCACGCGCTTTCTAGGCACTTGGCGGAAAAAACGGCCGAAATCGTAGGCGCCGAACTTTTTCTTCGCGTACGAACCAAGCCAAATGGCTCTAGTATGTGTGTATTTGAACATGGGTTACACGAATATGCCATAAAATTCAGGTAGTTGAATGCTTTTCCCTACGCGTATAGGGATTCACGCGCTTTCTGGCACTTGGCGGCAAAAACGGCCGAAATCGTAGGCGCCGAACTTTTCTTCGCGCAAGAACCAAGCCGAAAAGGCTCTAGTATGTGTGTTTGAACATGCGCCACTCGAATATGAAATAAAATTCAGGTTGTTGAATGATTTTTCCTACCCTATAGGGATTCACGCGCTTTCTAGGCACTTGGCAGCAAAAACGGCCGAAATCGTAGGCGCTGAACTTTTCTTCGCGCATGAACAAGCTGAAAAGGCTTTAGTATGTGTATTTGAACATGGGCCCCTCGAATATGCAATAAAGTTTATGTTGTTGAATGCTTTTCCCTACGTCTTTAAGGATTCACGCGCTTTCTAGGCACTTGGCGGAAAAACGGCCAGAATCGTAGGCGCCGAACTTTTCTTCGGCACATGAACCAAGCGGAAAAAACTCTAGTATGTATATTTGAACATGGGCCACTCAAATAAGCAATTAAGTTCAGGTTGCTGAATGTTTTTCCCTACGCCTATAGGGATTCACGCACTTTCTAGGCACTTGGCGGCAAAAACGGCCGAAATCGTAGGCGCCGAACTTTTTTTCGCGCAAGAACCAAGCCGAAAAGGCTCTAGTAGGTGTATTTGAACATGGGCCACTCGAATATGCAATAAATTTCAGGTTGTTGAATGCTTTTCCCTACGCTTATAGGGGGTCACGATTCTCTGGTCACGATGCTCTGGTCACGATGCTCTGGTCACGATGCTCTGGTCACGATGCTCTGGTCACGATGCTCTGGTCACGATGCTCTGGTCACGATGCTCTGGTCACGATGCTCTGGTCACGATGCTATGGTCACGATGCTCTGGTCACGATGCTCTGGTCACGATGCGAATGGTCACGATGCTCGATTCACGCGCTTTCTAGGCCTTGGGGCGGCAAAAACGGCCGAAATTGTAGGCGCCGAACTTATTTTTCATGCAAGAACCAAGCCGAAAGGGCTCTAGTATGTGTACTTGACATGGGTCATCGAATATGCAATAAAAAACAGGTTTGTTGATGCTTTTCCTACGCCTATAGCAGGGTCGTCCCTAGGATCTGAGGCATGTTTGATGCATCAGATGGGCCCCCGGCAAAAAAAAAAAAAAAAACGTTTTGTCTGATGCCGACTGGCCCATCGATTAATCCAAAAAAACAGGTCTTATTATCCGCCAAACAGGCAAAAATTGTTTGCTAGCGACGACCCTGGCCTATAGGGATTCACGCGATTTGTTGGCACTTGGCGGCAAAAACGGCCGAAATCGTAGGCGCCGAACTTTTCTTCGCGCAAGAACCAAGCCGAAAAGGCTTTAGTATGTGTATTTGAACATGGGCCATTCGAATATTCCATAAAATAGAGGTTTTTGAATGCTTTCCCCTACGCCTATAGGGATTCACGCGCTTTCTAGGCACTTGGCGACAAAAACGGCCGAAATCGTAGCCCGAACTTTTCTTTCGCGCAAGAACCAAGCCGAAAAGGCTCTAGTATGTGTGTTTGAACATGCGCCACTCGAATATGAATAAAAATTCAGGTTGTTGAATGCTTTCCCCTACGCCTATAGGGATTCACGTGCTTTCTAGGCACTTGGCGGCAAAAACGGCCGAAATCGTAGGCGCCGAAGTTTCCTTCGCGCAAGAACCAAAGCCAAAAAGGCTCTAGTATGTGTATTTGAACATGGGCCATTCGAATATGCAATAAAATTCAGGTTGTTGAATGCTTTTCCTTACATCTATAGGGATTCACGCGCTTTCTAGGCACTTGGCAGCAAAAACGGCCGAAATCGTAGGCGCCGAAGTTTTCTCTCGCGCAAAAACCAAGCCAAAAGGCTCTAGTATGTGTATTTGAACATGGGCCACTCGAATATGCAATAAAATTTAGGGTTTTTGAATGCTTTTCCTTACGCCTATATGTCAAACATTATATATGTTTGTTTTGTTTAGGCTACAGTGGGTTAGCCTATAGGGGGTACACAATTCTAGGGTTAGGTACTTGTACTGATTTCACTGTTAGTTCAATCATTCCTGTCCGTTCATTCTGACATGGTATCAGAGCAGGTCCTTCACTAGGACGTTTTAAGGCCCACCGCTACCTACCTACCTACCTACCGTGCGCCCTCGTGCGCCCTCGCGCCCTCGTGCGCCTCTTACTACCGTGCGCCCTCGTGCGCCCTCGCGCCCTCGTGCGCCTCTTACTACCGCGCGCCCTCGTGCGCCCTCGCGCCCTCGTGCGCCTCTTACTACCGCGCGCCCTCGTGCGCCCTCGCGCCCTCGTGCGCCTCTCCCTACCGCGCGCCCTCGTGCGCTCTGGCGCCTCGTGCGCCTCTCCCTACCGCGCACGCACGGCCTGCTAGCCACCCGCGCGCGGCCCGCTTTCCGCGGCGTCGTCGCCAGCCCGCGGCGTCGTCGCCTGCCCGCGGCGTCGTCGCCTGCCCGCGAGTAGTCGCCTGACCGCGGCGTCGTCGCCTGCCTCGTCGCGTCGACCTGCCCGCGGCGTCGCCACCTGCCCGCCGCGTCGCCACCTGCCCGCCGCGTCGCCACTGCACCGCCGCGTCGACCTGCCCGCGGCGTCGCCACCTGCCCGCCGCGGCGGACCTGCCCGCGGCGTCGCCACCTGCCCGCCGCGTCGCCCTGCTCGCGGCGTCGCCACCTACCCGCCGCGTCGCCCTGCCCGCGGCGTCGCCACCTGCCCGCCGCGTCGCCCTGACCTAATCCGCCTCTCGCCCTGGAGAAGCCGCCACTGCAGCAGCAGCCCCTGAAGCAGCGCCACTGCCAGCAGCCCTGGAGCCGCGCCCGCCACTGCAGTAGCACCCCTGGGAGCCGCCCGCCACTGCAGCAGCCCCCCCTGGAGCAGCCCGCACCTGCAGCAGCCGCCCCTGGCCCCTGGAGCCGCCGCCACTGCAGCAGCCGCCCCTGGCACCTGGAGCA